GCCACGCCCACGTGCCAACGGTGTGCTTGAGCGTCATGGCGTAGCGAAAGCCAAACGCAGTCTCGACGTCGAACGAATCAAAGAGGCCGAGCCGCTTGTAGTTTTGCCACTGCAGCGTGAATGAGGAAATCGCGTGTTTGGTCCAGAGTCGCACTTCGTCCGCAACACTCGTGCCAGGATCGCAACTACTGGAGCGCCAGGCCATGCCGGCCGCACTAGTGTTCAAGTCGGTACCAAACGCAATCTCAAAGGCGTCCCCCCACGTGTGCTGGAAGCTCGCCCAGTCGGTATTGCGAACAAACGCCTCAAGGTACACTGCCCCGTTCGTATGGTAGGCTGCGCACCGCGACTGCCGAGTCGCCGAGTTGGCCATGGCCCAGCGCCGCTCAAAGTCGAGGTAGCAAAACGAGGTAAACACATACGGTAGCGTGCTCGGGGGCGTCATCCGGAGACCGGCGATCGCAGCACCGAGGTCATTCGCGAGGGTCTCCATGTAGATGACGTTGTTGTACAGTGACTGGGACATGACCAAGGTCGTCGAGCCATTGTAGAGCAATGCATCAGCGAACCCGACGTCGTCGAGGCGCCACGTCATGGGCAAAGTGGCATAAAACAGCTGCGTGTTGAACCAATTGCCAAGAAAGGCGTCGATGCCGGTGCTGTTGAAGCCGGGCCAGAAAAAGTCGTTGGCGAGGTTCTGGCCCGAGACCGAGATAAAGACGACGCTGCTAGCGATCGTCAGTAGAAGGTAGCCACAGCCGAGCACGACCATCAATGTATTCCATGGGACACGGCGGCAGTAGTGCAAAAGGTGACCCAACCATGTCGTACTGGTATCAACGTACTTTGTCTCGGAAGCCGCTTCGGTGAGGGGCGCCAGGAGAATCGCTGCTGCAATGGGTCGCGCTCGCATCGAGAGCGACGGCGACCGCATGTGCAGCGTCGAGTCGGTTCTTTGATGTTCGGTTGCATGTTTCTCGGGCGTCTGTTGTTTCTTCTTCCAGACGACCCAGAGCTTGATGTCAAAGACGTAGTTGCTGCCGTTCACTTCAAACGGAATGAGCCCGCAGAGTGTGCACATGGCATGGTCCATGCACCAATTGACCGAGTTCTCAAGCGTGAGCACGCGGAGGTTCAAGAACGCTTCCCCGGCCGCCGGAATTACCGTCGGCTTGACTTCATGTTCAAGACCACTCCACGGCGCAATGCGTGCGACTCGGCGACACATATACACGAGGGGAATGGCAACGAGAATGCACCCTACGGTGATCGCTACCAGGGTCTCCGTGCGCACCCAGCTGCCGATTTCAAGACGTCCGCTTTCACAAATGAGCTGGCAATCAAAGTTGACGCTCGCGCAGGTCCGATCCAATGACGCCGTGGGCGACACCGGATTCAACATCGAATAGAGAAGGATACCAACCCACGCCAAGGCTGCGCTCAACGGTGCGTATTGGGGTGCGTTCTCGGGGAAGATAATGAGGAGAATGTCAACAAGGACGTACGAGAGCCAAGCGACTTCGCCCGTCAAAACCGCCGTCTCAAGAAAGGACCGCGTCTCAAAGGCGAGGCCGGTCCAGCCGTGGCGCGGTGTTAGCGTCATGGGCGCTGTGCTTAGAAGGATGATGGCTGTGACACCTCGCACGAGAAAGACGGGGCGGCCGACCCAGACAAAGGCGGCGACGCGGTTGAAGAAGAAGAGGTTGCGACCCGCAATGCGAAACTCGATCCAAAAACAGCGCAGGAGCGCAAATGCCGCGACAAAGCCCAGGACAGCGGTCGAGTAAATAGCAATGTACAAGAGATAGTTGCACGTGCTCCGGGGCACTTCCAGCGCCATGGCGTCAAAGCCGATCGGGGGTACTGCTGTCGAGATGAGCGTCATTGAGCCGACGTCACCTTCGAACTTGACCACTTCCCGCGTCCCGATCGCCCAGTCGTAGAGGTGCACCCAGCCAAAGACACCCCATTCCATCAACATTTGATGGAGTAAGATTGGGTCCGAGCCATTGACCATCGCAAACTGCATGACCTCGACTTGAAGGGTTGACAATACATTGGCTGCGATGGCTGAAAGCGGCGTGAGAGCTGCAAAGTCCTTGGAGCCCGCGACGAACGAGGTCGCGGCGACAAGGTCACCCACGCAATCGGGTGAATGGTCACAGAGCTCTTGTGGCGATAGCAGGATACTGCTAGCGCTGGTACTCGCACCCAGCAGCGCAAAGCTTAGGCTGTGCGCTGAGTACGTCAAAGTCATCTGGTCTTGGGCGCCGCAAATGTCGTAAAAGCCAAACGTTGGCTGGGCGTACGTCTGGTTGGCGCCTGTGACGCAGAAAGGGTTACCGCCGTAGTACGACAGCGTCGGTTGTTGCCACGACGACGGCGTCGCGAGCACGGTGCGGTTGCTGTGAAGTAGCTCTGGACTCTTGGCGATGGCGCGTGCGAACGCTGCGTCAAACAAGATCGCGAGCGACGCCAGCGAGGGCGGAAGTGGCACGTGACGCATGTCGATCGAGAGGAACGGGCCAATGTGCGCATGCCAAAGCTGTACAGGCAGCAAGGTCGGGTCGACGCCAACAACGATTTCAAAGTCCACTTCACTGCCATTGGTGCGTACGAGGGACGTGTTGAGTAAGCCCGCCGCCCAGATATCGTTGAAGAGCGCCCAGTAGCAGTTGAGACTCGTCCACGTACCATCTCGCGACGCGATTGGCAGGTTCTTGACGCTAATGCTCTCTTCCATGCCGAGGGCATTCGCGATCACAACGGTCTCCTTGATACCGCCTTGCCAGAGGTTGTGCCAATGCAGTGCAAACCGGCGTAGATTATACGTCGCCCAGTACGTGACTTCGTCGTCGACCGATGTGGCGGCGCTGGCCGTCGCGGCCACCCACGCCGGGCCATCGGCATCATGTAATACTGCGTCGAGAATCGCCGTTTGAAAGCCCGAGCCCGCCGTGCTCGCCCAGTTGTCTGCGTCGACATTACGAAGCAGCGCCTCGAGGTACACGGCTGCGTTGTCGCCATCCAACGCAGCACACCGGGCTTGGCGCCGCAGCGTGTGGGCAAGCTCCCAGCGACGATCCATGTCGACCCAGCAGTTTTGCGTCGGCAGCCAGAGCGCATACTCCATCGTGACGGCGCGGAGCCCACGGACAGCTTCATGCAGCGTCATGGTATCGAGAACGCTCCGAATATACGAGGGGTTGACGCCGACCTGGTTGACGCTGCTGCTGTAGTCGCTGTTGAAGAAGAGGCCGGGGCTGCGTAAATCGAGCGCGGTCGAGACGTTCGTCGCAGAGGTGAGCGCCCGATTGAAGGCGTCGGCGACAAACGACTGCGTGCCTGTTGTGTTGAAGCCCGCCCAGAAGAGGTCGTTGGTCATGCTCGGGCCCAAGAGGTCCACGAAGTAGATGCTCAAGACCGAGGTGCCGACGAGGTACAAGGCGCCGGCCAAGGCCCAGATGACGCTCACGATGGTTCCTGTGTCCTGGTACACCGTCATGGTTGTGGCGCGACGCGCAGTGAACGGGGTAGAGTCGGCGACGAGCGCAGTCATCGGTTGCACGGACGTCATGGGTCGACTGCTGCACCTCGGGTCGGTCTTGGAAGTGCTGGGCGAAACGACTTGCGCCTTTTTAGGGTCAAAGGGTGTAACCGTTTCAAAGCGTCGTGTTCGAGGGCCTTGGACAAAACGCATCGCAGACCAAAATGCTCTGCCACACAGATCTGGTGGGCTCGTGAAACCAGTGTAAGGCTACCAATCTACAGTGTACCGCCAGAAGCAGTCATACCGGTTGTATCTGCTGGTGAGAACACTAGCAACGACCTGAACGAGGCGTCTCCAAGATCAAACTCTTTTCCACACCATTCGAGCAAGAGCTCATAAATCCAATACTTGTTGTGTATACTCTTGATCCCAGGGAATTGCATACCGAGGCCCAGCTACAGCGTACCAGTGCCCGGAAAAGTCTGCGCACCTCAGCCTCAAGCGAGGTCGTGTGTTGGCTTTTGTCTAGGACAACGCACCGTCGTCGTAACTACCGCAAGACAACGCTTCGCATTCAAAAGTTCCTGCCAGCTCAGCCCGCACGGGACTACTAGTATTACCGCTCGATGATAGAAGCATATCGCACCTCTTGCTACCATGACGGCGCTGTGTGGGATTTACCTCCCGCCTGGTATCCGGTGGGCGGAACTGGGCAAAATTGGGTGAAACTGCCTCATTTGACCGGATACCACAGTGTTGTTTTCAAACGTCCGGATAGTGAGGGACAAACCGGGGCAATAACCCAAAAGATACGCGTATCCGAAACGGGTTCAAGGGCAAATCGATTGCGAGCGTCACGCAACACCGTGTCATTTCTGGTTTTGCCCTTCACCAAGCAACGCTCAACTCCCAAGCAGCATGTCTCTTCTTCGCCAGACTTCCGGTCATTGCATGCGCTACGCCGGGCGCCCGCTGCCGCCAAGTGCGCGCTGTGGTCGCAGCCGTCACAACGTCCACTCGCCCGCTGTGCTGGCTTCACTCGCGCGATGCATTGCCACAACGTCCTCAACTCGTATCAATACCGCTGGCAGTGCCTCACTCGCGACCAAGCAGCAACTGACAGGCCGCTACGTGTCAAGCGCTCTCATGGACCGCGTCACGTCCCTCTCCAAGTCTGTCGACGACTACATCGACAACCTCATGACGATTCCGACCGTCCTCTTTGCAAAGTACCCGCCCAGCATGCAGTTCATCGACGACGACGACGACGACGCCGAGTTGTAGCGATGGAGAGCGAGCGCCAAAGTGTGTCATCGAAGTAGAAGTCGTTTTACGTTTGCCGCGTTTTCTGTATGAATGGGATGT